CCCACCCTCGCCACCACCACCACCCCACCTGCCATCCACCTGCCACCTACTTTGCCACCACCACTCGACCACCTACCTGCCACTACCAGCCACCTACACCCACCGCCACCACCCACCCTCCACCCATGTGACGACCCCAAATTTTTGGAACACAAGGGGAAATTAAATAAACAAATGAACTTGATAAATCAAAAAGTTGGAATCTAATAAGGGTAATCCAACTCCGTACATTAACCAAATGCCAAATAACAATAACAAAAACTTAAATATCCAAATATAACATCAAATGAAATTATTAAAGTTCTTTAATAGCTGATATATAAAATAACTATAATTATTTCGGCTCTACTCGGGTTTCTGGTCAGCAAGCTCTACGTTAGCTCGACTCCATTTCAGCTGTCAATTATTTCTCGCCAAGACCTGGCATAAAACGCTTAGGCAACAAAAATATATGCCATGAGTTTTGCAAACACAGTAAGAAAACAAACCAACCTTACCATTCTTTTTAAGAGAAAAATAATTAAGATTGATACACGCGAAGCTAATATATAATTGTAACATGAATTACAACCATTAAAATTAATTTCAATAATTTTAAACAATTAGGTGAACTCGAAATCTCACCAAAGAGATTGAACTTACCAACCACTAAGCATTGGCAACGGTTAATTTGAACCCTCCCTTGGTCAAAATATTTAGTGTTACTAACCGCAACTACCAGGGATGCCCACGTCCGGAGTATATACCCAAGAGTAGCATCCGGCGTCTGCCCCAGAAACGGTCTGCCAGGGGACTAACCCTTGGTGTGCACCGACACATCCAACCTTATTCCCAAAAGCAAATACGAAAAGGGTGTCAAATAAGGTCCGTGCCATCTTAGAGTTTCGCAACACAATTACGTGAGAATTCTCAAAACCAGGTTCACCCTGAACAAACTGGTATTAACGTCATCCTGATTTCATTTACACTCTTAAAAATCAGGACTCACCCTTAAACAACCGGTATTAACCGTCAACCCTTAATTTCGTACCACTCTTTAAAACCAAGACACAATCTGAACAATTGTATTAACCGTCAATTGTTAACTTTGTTATATGTCGTTAATCATTTCAGTTAATTTTGATATTACTCACAAATAATTTCAATTTTAATCATATTGATGTTTACACCAACTCATTAAAATTCCCAACATAAAATATTACACAGTCACACAATAGATAAATAAATGTAAGCATTTAAATAAACAAGTTTATTAAATCATGGTATGAAATAATAATTTAGATACAGAGAAAAATAAACCAAAGTAAAACACACGTGCATGGATTTTTAATTTACAAGGATTAGACTGCACAATATTAAGTAAACCACAATTACACCCATAATGGATTACTAATTTACTATATTTTGATGAATGGACCAACACAATACTGATTTTTATCCGAAAAATAATTGAAAGTCATGAATCTTAAACCTGTCTTTAGAAATTTTCAGGTTATACCTTTAGTAATAAAAATTATAAATAATTATGTTAGTACAGTTCTTAAAATTCGTGAAAATGTAAGGATATTCAAATAAATATGTTTGGGTCATTTTCAGAAATTAATTTCCCAAAAAATAAGTTATAAATATTCTGTAAGAATTCCCATAAATTTATGACACAGATTTATCAGCATTTCTTAAAATTAATTCCATACTTAAATTTTATAAATAAATTCCATGATATAAAAATTTATTAGAAACTAGGACTTCTCAAATTTCCAGTTTTTGCTTTAGAAATTAATCAGATTTGTTTATATAAAATTTTTAGATGATTCAAACACATAACAAAATTTGTCTATAGCTCCAGATTTTGGTTAAAATCTGTATAAATCATAGAGAACTCATAATTTGTTGAAAAATTTTGGATGAACTAGACATCATTATCAACAACTTGTTTAGAAGAAATCATCTTCAAATTTTGAGTATTAAAATTTTCTAAAAAATTAGTACAACTTTCTGGCAGATTTAAAGGTGGCCAATAACATCTTCAATAATCTTTTTTAATGGCATAAACTACACATGCCAAGTCCAAATTTGATGTGCCATCATAAATTTGCATACAATTATAAATAAAAATTTTATCTACAAGTTTAGACATTTTCATATGTATATAAATTTGAAAATTTCAAATATATAAAATGAGAGGGTGAGGGGTTTTTTACTTTGTTAGGTGCTAGCCGATTTTCTCCGAATTTGATTTATGATTCTGATCTAAGATATGACCGTCTGGCCTCCTACGATCGTCTGCTGAAATTTCACATTAATCGGCACGATTTACCGTTGATCTTTCATTGATTTCTTTAGAACCTTTAGTTGTTGATCATCATCTTAGACTCAGAATTTGCAAGCATCTAACCCCAAAAATGATTTTACGTCGAAAAACTAAAAAGGTGGTCATCCCTAAAGTCATAGGACCACTCGATTACCTAAAGTACTAGGATGCACGCAGCACCAAGGCCGAGAAACGCTGGATAAAATTTAAATTAATTTCTTCTCCAACAGCGTAGATGGCACGAACAAGAAGACCCAGAATTTTAGTGTCAATGTCACCAGTCAAATGCTTGTATTTCTCATCGTAACTCCGTTTTATCGTTAATTTTGCTGTCATTAGATTCACCTCAGCGGCCTAGTTTTTGGTTCAACTACTCACACGCCTCGTCCGTCTCTTTTTGGCTGCCGTCGGATCTCCAAAATTTGACGAAAAAAATAAGATTATTTTCCTACTGTCTCGGACATTTTTTCGAACCATCTTCGGACCCCCAAACTTTCTTAATTCTTAAACGGTTTTACTTCATTCTTTCGCCAATCTCTTCAACTTATTCCCGTACTTCATCTTACATGACCTGATTTTTCTCAATTCTTCCCAGAATTGATGTTTTGGCATGCGCGAAAGAAGCCAAAAAAAACAACTTTTGAAAATTCAAATAATTCTCGTAACTTTGTTTCTTCTCATCCATCTTCCTTTCTTCTTCTCTTTTTTCACCTACAACACTTGTGAATGGTGGGTTCTAGATTATAATAGAAATAGGTGATGGTGGTGGTGCGTCCGACGTGCGCCAAATGTGGTGAAGTTCGCGGTGTTGCGATAGTGTGGGTAAACCGTGACTATTGGAGGTCTGGAGGAGGAGTAAGAATAGAATAAAGAAGAAGAAATAGTTTTGAGAATGAGGAGTGTTAGAAAAAGAAGATGAAACGGATAGAGAGAAAGCTATGAAATTGGAAGAGAAGCAAATGAGGAAGAGTAAAGATGTGATCAAAGAAAATGAAAAGAAATAAAAAAAAAAAGAAATTGAACACAGCATGTCACCACGTTTCTTGTTATAGGAAATGATGCACTGAAGTGGGGTGTGAGAAAACATGGGGAGCAAAGGCCCATGGTTTTTTTTTTTTTTTTTTTTTTTTTGGATTGGTTTTAGACAGAAAAAGATTAGGTCCAGTGTAATTTGATTACAAAAAAATATAGAGAAAAATATAATAAAAATATCATAAGGTTCAGAAATTAATATTGGAGTAAATAAATAAAGTCAAAAAAATATTTTATTTCATTTTAATTTTTGAATAAAATGTTCAGTATAAAAATTACAGACTATTAAATTCAAAATATGTGAATAATTATTTAAGAAAATTATATATTATTTTTTATTATATAAAAATACGGTGATTTCAAACCCACCACCCCACCACAACCACCCACCTACCGCCAACCACCAAGTACCACCACCACTCGCACCACCACCACCTGCCACCGTACCACCCACCCACCCATCCACCACCACCACCACTTACCCGTACCACCCAATCCGTCACCCACACAACCCGCCACCGTCAACCGACCGCCACCACCACCCACCATCTGCCACCCACCTGGCACACCACCACCACCCGCACCCACTACCACCACCTCCACCACCCACTCACTACCACCCACCACCCGCTACCGTCACCCACCCACCCACCACCACCAGCAGCCCAGCCACCACCAGCCCATCGCATCCGCCACCCACCTGCCACCACCCCCCACCGCCGCCACCACCCACCACCACCACCACACCACCACTCGACTACCACCCACCACTCGCCATCGTCACCCACCCAGCCACCCACCACACCACCACAGCTTACCCACAGCCCACCGTTACTACTTTCCACCACGCTTCCCCGCCAATTGCCATTTCTCACTCCTTTTTATATTTTTTAATGTTTTTAAACATTTGTCATTTACCAAACGTGTTTGTTAGTTTATGTTTTTATAAAAATAAACAAAAAATAAACAAAAACCAATTATAAAATTTGTTAAAATTATAAATTGAAACGAAAACGTTACCAGACACACTCATTTACCCAATCCAAAAGACGGATGCGCAGCACGCACCAGCACACAATAGCAGTGAAAAATCCTTTCAACGCAAACAAAGCTACTTCTTGGGAGCTGCAACTTGGCGTGCAAGTGCATTTTTTCTTTCTTTGTTGTTTATTTATTAAAGAAAAAGAAAACAGATTTGTTTTTGTTTTTTAAAAACAAAACACAAAAAATACCCACCCCACAACAATAACCACCTCACCTCCACAACAACATGTTAACAAGAGACTAAAACAAAACCAAATTCCCCACATGACCATCCAAACCTCTCTCGATCGAAATCTCAAATCGCCGATAAGGTATTCGGCTTCGCTTCGATGTTCTGCTTTTGATGAAATTGTTTTGCAGAAAACAATTCTGTTCTCTGAAAGAAGTTTAGACTGCGTGTCGGTTTCTCATTGTTGAAATTACTTGAATTTTTATTTTTATTTTTTTAATTTGGTTTGTCAGGTAATTTTCTGCTGCCATTTCTTGTTGTAAAGATTGCTGTTTTTTATGTATTTAATGTTGCTTTTTACATAGTTCATCTGATCACTATATTTGGTACATGTAATGTCTATATAAATATAGAGAGAGAGAGAGAGAGAGAGAGAGAGAGAGAGAGGATTTATATTTACAAAAATGTTGATATATAACATAGGTGATATCAATTGTGGCAGTTTCCATTAACATAGTCATTACAAGAATTCAATGGAATGTATGCATCATGTCTCATCATATACTTGTTATCTGTAACTTTTAAATTACTGCAAGGTAGTTCTATCTTTCTCTACAAATTACTCAATCGTTTCCAATTCTCTTAGTCTGTGTTTGGATCATTATGGATTTGGAAAGGGAAATGAAACACAACATTAATCCCATCATTCTTCTGCATTGCTAGATGTTTTGATTTGTTCTTTTGAGTTTTATGATTTCTATTTTTTTTTCTTTTTTCTTTTTCTTTTTTTTGGGTCTATTTGGTTTCTTATTTTATGTTGTGATTGAAAAATAGGTTTCCTGCATTGGAATTTGGGGCTGAGAATATAGTGATCGTGAGATACAAGAAAGGGAGAATTGTTGAGGTCCTGAGCAAGAATGAGGTGCCATCAGGCTCATGGCATTGTGCTGAGATAATCTGTGGTAATGGGCACAACTACACTGTTAGATACGAGATGGGCCCTGCTGCTACCGATGAGGCGATTGTTGAAAGGGTATCTAGGAAGTCAATTAGTCCCTGTCCTCCTCCAGTGAAACTATCGGAGAATTGTGTTCCTGGTGATGTTGCAGAGGTGTTTCAGAATTTTTCTTGGAAGATGGCAACTGTTTCTAAGGTTTTGGGTAGGAATTGCTTTTTGGTTAGGTTACTTGGATCCTCCCATGAATTCAAAGTCAGTAAAGTTGACCTCCGGGTGCGACAATCTTGGCAGGGTGGCAAATGGTTCGTGATTGGAAAGGTAGTTTTATCTGAATCTGTTTTAGGCTTGCAACTCAAATATTCCAGTGTCCGGTCTTTATTTATGTATTATTTAGGAGTTCTTGTTTTGAATTCTCTTGCTTCCGCTAAAATTTTCATCTTCTGCTTCCCAAATTTTCCACAAATCCGTTTATAGCTGATACTCTTATGCGGATATAATAAGTTAACACTTGAGAATAATTAGATTCAAGTTTATTTGGATATGTTATTAGTGACATTTGAACTAGTTGATTTATTTTGGGGCTTCTAGAGCAATATTGATCTTGTTCTTTTTTTTTTTGTTGTCATACAATTTAACAATAGTTTTAATGGGATCAACTTTATATTGATTTTATCTTTCTTTCTTTTTTTTGTTTTGTTTTGTTTATTTATTAAACAAAAAGAAAACAGCAATCCAAACCTCCACAACAACAATGTTAACAAGAGACTAAAAACAAAACCAAATTCCCCACATACCAATCCAAACCTCTCTCGATCGAAATCTCAAATCGCCGATAAGGTTATTCGCTTCGCTTCGATTCTGCTTTTAATGTAAATTGTTTTCAGAAAACAATTTCTGTTCTCTGAAAGTAAGTTTGGACTGCGTGTCGGTTTCTCATTGTTGAAATTACTTGAATTTTTATTTTTATTTTTATTTTTTTAATTTGGTTTGTCAGGTAATTTTCTGCTGCCATTTCTTGTTGTAAAGATTGCTGTTTTTTATGTATTTAATGTTGCTTTTTACATAGTTCATCTGATCACTATATTTGGTACATGTAATGTCTATATATAGAGAGAGAGAGAGAGAGGATTTATATTTACAAAAATGTTGATATATAACATAGGTGATATCAATTGTGGCAGTTTCCATTAACATAGTCATTACAAGAATTCAATGGAATGTATGCATCATGTCTCATCATATACTTGTTATCTTTAACTTTTAAATTACTGCAAGGTAGTTCTATCTTTCTCTACAAATTCCTCAATTGTTTCCAATTCTCTTAGTCTGTGTTTGGATCATTATGGATTTGAGTAGGGATTTGGAAAGGGAAATGAAACACAACATTAATCTCATCATTCTTCTGCATTGCTAGATGTTTTGATTTGTTCTTTTGAGTTTTATGATCTCTATTTTTTTTTCTTTTTTCTTTTTTTCTTTTTTTTGGGTCTATTTGGTTTCTTATTTTATGTTGTGATTGAAAAATAGGTTTCCTGCATTGGAATTTGGGGCTGAGAATATAGTGATCGTGAGATACAAGAAAGGGAGAATTGTTGAGGTCCTGAGCAAGAATGAGGTGCCATCAGGCTCATGGCATTGTGCTGAGATAATCTGTGGTAATGGGCACAACTACACTGTTAGATACGAGATGGGCCCTGCTGCTACCGATGAGGCGATTGTTGAAAGGGTATCTAGGAAGTCAATTAGTCCCTGTCCTCCTCCAGTGAAACTATCGGAGAATTGTGTTCCTGGTGATGTTGCAGAGGTGTTTCAGAATTTTTCTTGGAAGATGGCAACTGTTTCTAAGGTTTTGGGTAGGAATTGCTTTTTGGTTAGGTTACTTGGATCCTCCCATGAATTCAAAGTCAGTAAAGTTGACCTCCGGGTGCGACAATCTTGGCAGGGTGGCAAATGGTTCATGATTGGAAAGGTAGTTTTTTTTCTGAATCTGTTTTCGGCTTGCAACTCAAATATTCCAGTGTCCGGTATTTATTTATGTATTATTTAGGAGTTCTTGTTTTGAATTCTCTTGCAGTCATCTGCTAAAATTTTCTTTCTTTTTTCTGCTGTCCTCAAATTTCAGCAACCGTTTATAGCGTTACTCTTTTTGCAGATAGTAATTAAGTTAACATCTTGAGTAATAAATTAGATGTCAGTTTTTTGGATATGTTTTATTCAGTGACAGTTTGAACTAGTTGATTTATTTTGGGGCTTCTAGAGGCAAATATTGATCTCTTGTTCTATTTTTTTTTTTTTTTTTTTTTTTTTTTTTTTTTTTTTTTTTTTTTTTTTTTTTTTGTGATACAAATTTAACATAGTTTTAATGGGTCAACTTTATATTGATTTTATCTTGGTCTCTTTTTTTGCTTTGTTTTGTTTTGTGGTGTGGTCGTGTGCTCTATTGAAGCACGGGATACTTTCAAATAGGAGACGGTATCTCCGTCATGGATACGATACTCCTCGGATACTTAGCGAATATGTATCAGACTATGTATATAAAAAGTATCGGATACTTCTTAATTAATGTTTTTATTAATTTGAGTATCCGGATACTGTTTTGAAGTATCGGATACTGCTGACTACATATTATCGGTACTTCTTAATTAATTTTGAGTATCAAATCCTCCAAGTCAGCTATTACTCTGTTTTACGAAAATTAGAATTGTATTATTTTCTTGCATACATCATGAAATATAATATACATTGCGAGAATTAAAAGAGAATATTTATCCTCTCTCACCAACAATA